TACCAAGTGACTTTTAGCAAAATTTTTCTACTTCGGCAAGCCAGCGGAGCAATGGTGAGCGTTCTTTGAAAAAAAGATAATCAAGGACAATTCATTCAGAGTTCTGGAGAATAATAAATGAAAAAAAATTATTTGGAATATGTGGGATGCACGATTTTTTTCTGTCTCGATTTATGCGAAATCTATTCATTTCTTAAGTTAATGAATAGATTTCTCATTTAAAAATATTTCTTTCGATAATCATTAATATTAAAAAGCAAGTAAATTTAATAATTTATATCGAATAATAGGCACAAGCTTAGAATAACCCTTAATTCAAATTAAAAATAAACTCAATATCTTCGAGAACAGTATAAATATGAGATAAATTCTGTTTGCCATTAGTTAGGAAGTGCGTTGCACTGAGAAGATGGTTTGTTGTTATTTGCATGAGAAACGAGCATATTTCCGTATTTCGAATTTCAACTTTTTCTGTAGCTTAAAATATTGTGAACGATTAAATTAAAAGTAATTGCTTTTATAAAACAATTTTCTGTTCCTTCTTTCAGATTTTTTCTTATTTCTAATATTTCCTTTAATTAAATATTTACATCATTAATAGTCGTATGTGTGGGTATGTGGGTTTAGAAAAAACGCAACCTGAAATTTGTCTAGTTTGAACTTACAAGTACTGGTTTCATTCGCAATCATTGTGAGTTTGGTGTCTCGAAAGGGACCAAAAAGGTCTAATCAAAAAGCGAAGTGCACAGTTGATATTTAAAGTAATTTATTCTAAGTAAATGGCCCACCGATCCTTTTGCATGATTCAGTAGCCATAGATCGCGAAGTTTTGGTGAGTCGATTCAAAATTGCTAAAATTTATTATTTTTGGTGAACCACGTTTAACTATTCTCTTACTCTTAAAGCTCCTTCCTGAAGCTCTGCTATGCTACTTTATTATAACCCGTAATATCAGCTTAACTTGCTTCCATCTGCCACTATAATGCCCTTCAGATAAAGTAAAGCTGCAACATTTCATACCGCTTACACCTCTACTATATATTTTACTGGAAATTCACAAAGGATAATATGATGGTAAAATGAGTTGGAGAAAAAGGAAAGGCAGTTATTCATCAAAGAGACTGTAAAAATGATGCAAGCTTCGAAGAGAGGTTATTTCGAATATACTCAGTTCTGAGTGGATTGATTTTAAAGAATGCACTGTTTTTTCTTACTACTAATACAATAAACGGTTTTATTGTCTTCCTGTACCTTTTATGTGAGGTATTTACTGAATTTTAAATAAGAAACTCACTTTGTTCAATGAACAATTGAATTGATTTAATTATTTTGCTATATTAAAAAATGATTGCAAACTTAAACTTGGCCATTCCTAGTATATTTGGTACCAATTTCCGGTAATATAATAATCAAATGAAAAATGGAAAATATCACATGCTCTATTATTATTTTTTGAATCATAAAATTTAGAGGATAATGAAAAATGCAAGAGGAATGCAGCGTCAACTTCGGGCCCTGTACCGGAGGCCTGGGAAATTGAGGTAAAGGAAAAAAGCTTCCAGGAAAGCCTTGCAAAATCCTCACCAGAAAGATCCTCACCAGAAAGATAAAAATGACTGATTGCGATTTAAACCGTATTCCAAGTTGTTGTATTCCAAGTTAATCGTCCTTCTCAATTATGCTACTACAACAATACATATTATATATATAACAATACATATATATATATATACATAATCATCTCTTGCGAATAGCATGGGTTGTCCTCAAATCTCACCAAAGACCTGGGAGCTTGAGGAAGCTGTGCAATATTTTAGCCGTTCCTCGAATTACGTTGCCCTGAAGAAATCTCTGATATTGTTCCTGGAATTTATTGCCACTTTTCTTAAGGATAATAAAGAATATAATTTATATCTTATTTAGAAATAAGAATAATTAAAAGCGATCAACCAACATAAATATTAGCTTCGTCAGCATTCAGAAAATTCATTATATTTTTTCATCATATCTTAAACCCATTATATCTTTAAAATTTTACACATAAAGCTCTTTTGGGATTTCATTGATTTGAGATTGATTACTACTGTTTTACTTTTTTTTTTATAATCATTCTTTCACACATGTTTGAGAAAAGTAATATTTGGTGGTTAGAATTAATTAACAAAGCCCTAAAGATAAAAAAGATGGAGGAATTTCTTATAGGATTAGTTGCCCACGAACAATATTTCTTAAACGTTTTCTCTAAGTACCCTTTTAAATTTCTGTGAAATGATCAATTTGTTTATATGGTTTTATATCATTCATAATCGAAATTAAAAAGAAAAATTTTTCAATGTATTACGAACCGTATTTGACATATAACATATTGACATATATAATGTTATTAAATTCTTGTAGTATTAAAATGGTTCACGTCGAGGATTACCTAAAATGATCACTTTTGTGTTCTCAGATTCAAATTTTGAGGACCAACGCCTTAAAAAAATCTTGACTAAGATCATTAAAGTATAAAATAGTTCGCGAATCAAAATATGTTGAAATTTGATATCAAAATTACATCAAATTGTGTTGAATTTAATTTACATAATTATTTTTATGCTTTCGATTGTTATGAAAAACGAAATGCAATTATGAAAAAGAAATTCTTTCACAAATTTGATAATCGAAATATAATTGCATAACATAATCTGAAATTTTTAAGATAGGTATAGGTTATATACTTTTTAAAGATCACTCTGACTTCCAATTTAATAATTTCTCAATTAATAGGATTTTTTATTAATAGATTGATTATCGAAATTTTGTTGTCAATTTTTTATTTAAGAATCTGAAACAATTATTTTCTGATGTGTTCTGATCACATACGTAGCATACGCTTTCCAAGTCCATCAGTTTCATCAAATTTCAATTAATTTATTAAAAGAATAGGTGATACACCGAATTTTTATGGGGTTTCAAAGTTATAAGAAATAAAATTGAATTTATGGCGATATATATTCCTGGAATAGAAATAGCTGAAAAAAGTGAAAAGTGAGAAATTTCAAGTAAATTTTATTTTAACATCTTTGATATCTTTGCAACACTTTTATATACTTTAGATTGTTTTTTTTCACCAACTGGTTAGGCTGGATTCTAGAAGGCCATATTCAAGCTACTCGATCCGATACTTGAGAGTAATAGAAGCCACTAATTCCTCTACCGTCTAAGTTTATATATCACCTATACGTCCAAAATTTCCTGGCCACATCAGCTCGGGTTTTGGTTAGTCCACCTCGCTTTTGATGTCACCTATCACAAGGTCTAGCAAGTGGCGAGATATGGTCCAACTTCTGCGATGGGAGATAAAGAATATGGTCTAATCAGTAAACGATACTCTATAAAGCTAACGATTCCATAGAAGCCACTCGCCAAATAAAATAATGAATTGCAAATTACGGTCATTCGTGCTGCAATTTCATCTTCCTCGGATCATTTGATAGTATATACATTTAAAATACTTATTAGCAGATAATTTTTTAACAAATAACTATGATATAAAATGGGGAAATAAAACTTAGCGAAATGTAATAAGTGGATTTAATTATTTTCGAACCATTTAAAATCACTCGTAAAAAAGTAAATTTTAGCATAAAAATAGCAGTTAGCAGCACTGCCCTCCTACGTAGGATTAAATTTAATGCATAAAATTCATTTCCTGCAAAATTTTATGAAAAAATTTAAACGGCATAAATCCAATTAATTGTGCCTAAGCGAACCGGCAAAAATTAAAATGGCATAAGTCAAATTGCCAGATCACTCGTCTCCCAATACTTCTTTTGATTTGAATAGAGGTTCTTTCGATGTAGATAAATGAACATGAGACTATGATTAGTTAATAAATGTCTCCTTAAACCTTTGCTTTGTTCTTGAGCAACAATTTTCTTCGCTTATCAATAGCCATTTTGAATAAAAAAATGCTTGATTGTGAATAATTTATCAAATGATGATGGTTTGATACGATTATTCTTGCTTTACAAAAATAACCTTTGGTATTCAAATGATAGATAGAATAATTGAATCTTTTTAAACGACTTGAGACATTCATTATTAAAAATTCTATAGAATTTTTCTATTGCTTCTTACCGCTCAAACGGCATATTTCTCATTTATTACCTTTTGTTACTTTTGTAATTAATAAATAATGAATGATTTAAGATAATAAAATAATTAATGGAGAGTTGGACAGATTCAAAAAAAATGAATTCAAAATTCATTCGATTAGGATTTGCAAGGCACAATATTTGTAAATCATCGCCGTTGTATGCAAATTATTCATTCCTCTTGGCGAGTCTTATAATGCTGCAAATTTTTCATACTGCTAAAAGCCGTTCATTCCCAAATGTGGATGATATTGGATTCCTTTCAATGGTATGCTTTTTTCACTTCTAGAGAGAAATTTCTGATTTCAAATAAGAATTGTCAAAAATAGCAAACAATGGCAAAACCACAAAGCTAGTAGAAATTCGACTGTGCTATCTGAGGATCTGAAGTTCAAGGCTTTAATTCATTCCAGTTAATTCTAGTGGCGATCGATTGCAATATTCTAATTCTAATTTGAACATTTGAGTATTATTCGAGTATATTGTGCTAATATAGTAAATATATCTTTTGTAACCCATTGCATTTACGTTTTATGTTGCCGATATACACAAGGTCTTTGTCTAAAAACATATAAATATAAATATTAGTAAATATGGAAAAATAATGGGGAAAAGGAAATAAAACTGCTGCTGGTATTTCACAGCGCCGATGCTTGGATTTTATTTATAGTATGAGTAAACCTGCATACCTGCATTTCAAAAATTCGTTTAATTTTAGCATTTAACATGTACTTCTACCACTAAGAAACTTGTTTGCTCTAATAGCAGAAATTAAATAAGAAGTGATAAGCGCTCTTCAAAATGTTAAAAATGCAAATAATTGAAAATTGAAACTATAATGGATGATACTGCTAGAAATAATTCGGGTTAAAAATTATGGTTTAAAACATCCAGTTGAACAGCAGTTTTTCCAGGATTATTCAAGTTTAAAAATAATTTCAGCTTTTGAGAACGCAACAAAAACGAGGAAGCGAAGAATGGATTAAATGGGATCCTAATTGTTCAATTTATAGAAATGAAGAACTCCATGCAATTATGGACCGTGTATGTGAGATGTGTCATGAGATGTTCTCACATGAACAGACTAATCTTAGGGCAGAATGCAGGTTGGTTACTTTCCAATATCTACAATAAAATAAGTTAGAATAGAAAATGAACGACATTCCTTCAGTAAAAATTGATGAACAAAATAGATTTCATCAATTATATTAATTTATGCTTGCAGAAAATTATTTTTTCTTATTTTCTTGAATTAAATTTCAAGTCTTTGCTAAGTATGCCAAAATGTTTATTGCTTTTCGTTAAGAAATAAAATAGAAATTTTACCTATGCAAATTTTGCCGACATGGATTGCTGAAATCTTCATTTTTGAGTATCATAGTTCGATTTTTGTCAACGTTAAGAATAAATCATAAAAGATCTTAACAATACTGACTAGCAATCTAACTTCTATGCAAGATTGCCAATATCAACTTCATAAATTATAACACCATTTTCAAAATAATATGTATAAAATTAATAATTTCATAAATTTGTGCAGATAGATTTTTAACCAAAGCTTTTTTCAGAAAAAACTGTTTTCGTAACAAAAAATTTCGCGGTTGCTTACAATTATTTTCTCCTGCCGAAGAGGGCTGGTGGAAAGACCATCATTGAATTACAACATAATCACGCTATATTTCTTTCGGATCGTTGCAAATCGGAGAAAGTTTAGAGATATACTGTTGATTGGTTTATTTTGTAAAACCGCATATAAAATCTTCTATGTTTATAATAACGCGAGGATTCAATTTTTCTGAATCTATTTGTTTCTCTCCAATTTTTTTAAAGCTGTTGTGAGATCATCAACAATTATATGCTTTTTCTTAAATCTCTAAATCGATAAAGTTAATGCATATGAAGAGATTAATTTAACATTTTTAAGCACAACGAAAATAACTCAATACTCATCATAATCTATCTGACTTAGTTCCATAATTAATTGTTAACTTCCTCAAAAAATTTCATGTCTGTAGGATTATCAAACTTTCCAAAACGACTTTGGTTGAAATCCTCAATGTTCTGCCAACTTTCCACAGTTCAAGAATCTCTTATAACTAATTGTTACTGAAGTTAATCGCAAAACAAACAGGGATCCGAAAGAATCCGAAGCACATATATTATTTTTATTTTAGTTCACGATTAACGATTAATTCATCTGATCATTAAGTGTTATACCTTGGCCCAGTCTTCAAGCTTTGGTGAAGCTTAAGAAAAGTAAATTAAAAGCATTGATTAGTGTTTTTTATATTTTATTTTTTGTTTTCTATGAATATTTCACCACTCAAATACTTTATTTTAATTTACGAACATTGTCTTAATTATTTAACCAAGAATCGATGCTTGGATTTAAGTCTGTTGACGCACTGCTACTCTGGCAGCATTGTCGCCTAATAGAGAAAAATAATGAGAAAGATGAGTAAAGTAACTCAGTGGGTTGTCGCTCAATTCCGACTGCTCATGCCGAGTGCAACTCCGGCCACCCGATAAACCTGTCCAAAAATGCAGGTGATGATGGCGTCTCACCCGTACTTCTATCGCCAAGGTACTCCTTAATATATATTTATCAAGTGCGACAAACCAGAGGGTAAGTTTAACCAGTAATTATGTGTGCCCTAAAAAAATTATTGTATCAACAAAGAATCCACCATAGTTCCAGTTTCTGCCATCATGATTGGCACAAAAACTGAAAACTGAATGGTTTGGGCTCTAAAAGCAAATTTTATGATGTAAATACTGAAATTGTAAGATTTTTTCTAATTTGTCTAATCTTCTAATTTTTTCTAATCAGCTCATGATTTTAATCACGACTTTTTTTCCCTTAAAGATTGTCAACTCATAACGATCATTTTTAAATTTTATGGGAAAAATTGAGAAAAAATTCTGCAGTTTTCAAAGGTTATTTCTCTTCACTTTAATGAATTTATTGAAAAAATGAAAACATGAATTGGATTTTTATAAAACTAAATCGCAATCCTGTACTAAACTAATGGGGCTTCTGTTAAATCAGTACGTGGTTGAGCTTATGAATGATTAACGAGCCACCAATTTTGCAAAAAATTTCTGCAAAAACAATTTTGCGAAAAAAAAGCCTAAAAGGAATCTCATGAAAGAATAATTTAAATATTCAAATATATGGGAAGGCAAGTGGATGTTATTCGCCTAAATATCCGGTTTGTGCATAAAAGACTAAAAGAAACCTATGTAGTATTGGCGGTTTACCCACATTTTTTTCGCAAGTGATTCCATGGAAAAATTTCTCATCGTATTAAAAGCCATTGAAGCAAGATTAACAGAAATCATGAGCATTTATTTCAATTACTTATAATCAGGAAAGTGTTCAATCTTGCTACAATATTTTTAAATTTTCAATATATACATATCCATATTTGTTATTCGATGATCAAATTTTTGAATGGAATATTTCAAGCTTGGATTAAAATTTGGCGCTTTCAATTTTCTTCCTAAAAAACCAAATTTTCAATGAAAACTGCATATAAATATTCATCAGTTGATAAAGGCACAGAAATATGGTATAATAACGATAAAGCAAAAAACTAATAAATGCTCAACATTTTACACCTTTAAGAGTCTGCAATCAAATTTTTAAGTTTAGCAATCGCATTATGAAAAAAGATTTAAAACGCCTTAATGATAAAGCAATGGAAAAAAAAATTTGCTCAATTTAATAAGATTTGGTTTATAATTTGAGGAGAAAGAGAGCTTAATGCTTTTGAGAAACTATGGCTTGCAAAATATGAGGTTTATTGAGGTTCATTTATTGTTTTTATGGAATTATTTTTTCCAAAAATGAAAGGGCAAAATCGTACATCGTTATGATCATTGTTTATTGGTAGCAACATATAAGAAATCTCCTGATTTTATTTATTCCTGCCTTGAAATTGATAGAAAGAAAACTGATAAAAAAATTGATAAAATAATATTTTCGAAATTTTCCAGTGTTTCTTGTTTCTTTCTATTGTTTCTATTGCGCTTCAGAAGACTTGGTATTTCACTAAAAGCGTATTTTATATGTGATTAATTTAAAAAATTGTTAAAAGCTCTTAGATATTTCTGTATTCACATGCTCACTGGTTCTACTGATTTCTTCTATCTATATTCCCACAAATCCTGTAAACGCACTCTCGTATAGGCATGTACAAATTTTGTTCGTCCATCTAGAGATTGTAAGCCCTGGATCGACAAGGTTTCAGATTGGCATTTGGTACTGATAATACGCTGATTGGAAATTGGTCCTAATTGATCGAGATTTTTACCGTAAATTCAGCGTATGGCATTACAAAATGTTTTGACGAATTTTTTGTCTGTATAATAGCTAGGTACACTATTATGTACGTCCATGCACAAGACTGAGTAATTTGATTTGCTTTTCCTCTGTTGTGATGTTTGTGTAGGTAATATTCAATAGAATGACTTTAGAATGGCTCAGTGGGTTGTTGCTCAATTGGGAGCAGATGTTGAGGTTCGATTCCCTGCAGGAGTAAACCTATACAAAAATCCGGGTGATGCTGGCGACTCACCTGTATTTCTATCGCCATGGGATTCCCTGGCATATTGTCCAATGTGACAAGCCAGTGCAGTGAGCCTAACCAGTAATGGTGGTGAGTCTTTAAAAAAAAAATTATGAAAATTATGACCGAACATTTCATGTCGCGATTAGCTAAAAGACAGTGGATAGTGTACTGTGAATGTTGTTTGTCTTTATCACCGAAGATTTGTTGCTGGAAAATTTAACTTTTATTTTTAAATCCTTGAAGCAAATTCCTATCGTTTCTGTCATCTCCAACAGTAAGATGTCGTCCACATATTTGCATATCGATCGATAAGAGGTCTCTCGATAAAATTATCTTTCTAGTTTGTCCATAAATGCGATGGCCAGATGGAGCTAATCGATTTCCCTTGCCTTTACCTTAAATGTATTGTCTAGACCAACGAAAATATTGATACAAAGAGTTTTTGTTACAACGGTTTATGTGTTCTATAGCTCAACTAAATTTGCTTGATCAGCGTGCATGTGGACAACAGTTCCACTGCAACTCGTAATACCGTTGTCCACATTAATGAATTTTGCTATTTTCGAAACTTCCTTAGGTACACTTTCCGTAAGTGGTGACTCAACGAAGTATTGTAGAAAATATTGTGTAGCAACAAATTTTAGAAAAGGCTTGTAATGACATGAAAAGTCGAAGTCGAAGTAATAAATCAGGCATGTACTACTTTTACTCTTATTAATATTTCTTTCTCTGCATTGTGCCTTTTGCCAGCCAATAAATTTTTTTAAAATTGTATTTACTTTTATATACAACGGAAAAATCTTAACTCTGTGAATAAAAAATAATTCTCAAACAATAACAATTTCTTGATGATGAGGCGTCGCATCGCCAAATGTTGCTCAAATTGTTTTGTTTTCGGCCGGGTATTTCATGCCTTATGCACATTGAAAATTTGATTTCGATTTTCAAATTATATAATACAATAAGCTAAAAGTCAAAAATTTTATGATAGAAATATGCAAGCGAATCTGAATCGATCTCACAAATAAATAACGAACATGCATGCAACATGCGTTCAAGTATCATAAAATTTTGATTTCTCATAGCTTTCTAGCATTTATTCTTAAATCTTATTTTCGCACTTTTTTGCTAACTTTTGCCATATTTTTACTTCACCGATTCTTTTCAGCAATCCAGTGATTAATCTTTACATAAGAAATTTTGTAAAATCTGTTGGAATGTTATTTACTTGCATTTTTTAACTGATAAAATTAATGAAAATAAAAGAAATTGCCAGAAATAACACAAATAAAATTTATAATTATAAATAAACCCTTTAGAAAATGCTAGAATAAAGTGAAAAAAATTTATAAAATTGCAAGAAAAGCATTTACTGAAATCGCAAGGGTATTTGAAAATCTTTTCCGTTGGGACAACAAATGGGACTACGACGTTCGATTTGTTTACTTGAAGATTTATCGAATTCGATTCATTCACTCATTTTCAGTTATCACAAATCGTTACTGATTTTATTCCTTTAAATTGAAGCTTTCCTTTATTACCATTTATTTATTGCATAATTTTATTTCCCTTAGGCGAAAATTTTTCTATCAAAAATGCATTAATCGCTCGCTCGTTAAATTTTTAGTAAATTTTTGGTTTAACCTTTAAAGAAGTTAACCTAATAATTTTCAAATCTAGAAAATCTATTGGGTATCTTTTAATTTTTTTACATTTTTTTCCGAATATTTATTATTTATTCCGTCATTGATTAAGAAATTGATGCATTAAGAACCGCTATTCTTTTTTCTTTCCACAGCATACTTCATTTTTAATTTGACTGAACCTGTTGTCTATTCGGACGAAAGAGCTTCGATATAGAATCACCTGGTAATAAAAATAAAGGTGATGCCAATGGATTCAATTATTTTGTTAAAATTTTCTCTACAATAATAGTAAATTTATCTTTACAATTATTTCCTTAAGAATTTTGAAGAAAATTGCGGCGTTAAATAATTTTTGGCTTTTTTTTGAGAAAAATTCATATCGCCTATGGTTTCGTTATGGTTTGTCTTCTATTATGTAGAAACAAATCTGAAAAAA